AATTCTTAGAGGGTTCAGTTTTTCAAATAATGTTCGACGATTGGATTATTTACATGATATTTTTTTGTAATTTTGGAATAATTTACTTCTATTAATCATTACATTAGTACACTTGAAGGTATTGAACATAACAACTGAAGATAAATTCATTTTGTACTGTCTATATAAATAACTAGACCTTAAATATTACTCTTACTCAAAATTCATAATGTAATTATAACGAGCACATGTATTCAGTACGTACTTTACTCAAGTACTCATTATATGAACAGTATTGAAGGCCATGCACACGTAGGCTTGGTTGACCGGTTGAAGACCAATGTGATCAAAAGAGAAAAGCTGAGTTGGCATGCTGACACAGGAAAAGAAATGGAAGAGAGAGACGATCGAGCTGTGAGCTTGGAGTATAAGAAAGCTGACAAAAGCAATCCCAAAACCCTAGATGATTTTCCCTTAGCTAATGATGTTGTGTATGACAGCTTTACCCCTTAGGAGGTTGATATAGCCGCACAGTACACATACCATTCTTGTGTATGAAAAACTATGATAGACAAAAAGAGATGAACAACTTTTACCATATCAATGAAATAGCATTAATTTTATTGTTCAATTATCTCTATGGTGTTTTATCTGTTTCTCATTATGGTATCAGAGCAGGTGTAAAAACCTGCCTCTGATCCGTCTTCACCACTTTTATTTGTCTCCTTTTTATCATCATTTCTGCTGCCATGACCGGATCCCAAGGAGATTCTACCATCCACCTTCAAAGCCAGCTGGTTTCAGTCAAACTAGGTGAAAATAATTTTTTGATCTGGGAACAGCAGATTCTCACTACTCTTAGAGGATATGATCTCCTTGGATTTATCAATGGAGAGATATCAGCTCCAGACAAACTCAGCACAGATCCAAATGGACAACCACAGGTCAACAAAGATTATCTACAATGGGTTAAGCAAGACCAACTCATTGCTTCTTGGCTCTTATCCTCTTTATCAGAGAATGTTCTTATCTCTGTTGTTGGACTCAATACTTCGAAGGAAATTTGGGATTCTCTCAAATCTGGGTTTGCTAGCCACAGCTTGGCCAAACAAATGCAACTGAAGCTCGAGTTACAAACACTCAAAAAGGGATCTATGAAAATGAGAGAGTACTTCAACAAAGTGAAAGGGCTTTGTGATCTTTTAGCTGCAGCAGGCCAAAGGCTAAGTGAATCTGATCAACTTCTGCACTTGTTGGCAGGACTGGGAGCTGAATATAATCCTGTGGTTGTGACTTTGACATCAAGATCTGAGAAATGTCCTATGATGGAAGCTTATTCCATTCTTCTGAGTTTTGAAAGTAGGCTTGAGAGTGCTGAGACTATGAATGAAGGAGATGGCCCTATCCTTGCTGCTAATATGGTCACTCATACTTTTGGTAGAGGAAGAGGCTCAAATCCTATGAGAGGAAGATCTCAGAACTATAACCAGTCATTCAGAGGAAGAGGACAAGGTAGAATGGCCAACCACAGAGGAAGAGCTGGTAGAGGAGCATTTGGTGGAAATAGGCCAAGATGTCAGATCTGTGGGTACAACAACCACACAGCCGACAAGTGTTATTTCAGGTTTGACATGAATTTTACTGGAAGGTCTCAGAACAACACAAACCAGCAAGCCCAGCAAGTTAATGGGGGGTTCTCTGCAAACATTGCAAGCATTGGAAACCAAAGTGAAGATGGATCACAGGATTTTTGTTGGTATCCAGACTCAGGGGCCACTCATCATCTCACCAATGAGCTTAACAATCTGAACATTGCCTCAGAATACCAAGGGAGTGAGAAAGTTCAAGCAGCAAATGGGACAGGTATGCATATTGTTCATATAGGCAAATCAATGATGAAAAGCCATGATTCCACTTATCCTGACATCTTCCTTGTTAATAATCTGTTACATGTCCCTCAAATCACCAAAAACCTTCTTAGTGTCTCTCAGTTTGCAAAAGATAATCAAGTATATTTTGAATTTCATCCTTCTTTATGCTTTGTGAAGGACATCAAGACAGGCTCAACTTTGCTTCAAGGAACTCTTAGGAATGGACTCTATTGTTTCCAGCTCCTCAAAACTGAAGATGGTTCTCTTAGTGTTAGTACTGCTAGTAATCCTTTTTCTTTTCAATCAAGTTGTAATGCAGCTGCCTTAAAAGATGTTGACACATTAGAAATTTGGCATAACAGGCTGGGGCATCCTTCTTTTGACATTGTTAAAACTGCTTTACAACATTGTGATGTTCCTTTCCTTGATAATAGAAGATCCTTATTTTGCAATGTGTGCATGGAGTCTAAATTTCATAAACTTCCATTCTCAGAATCAGAAAATCTGAATTATAACCCATTTGATCTCATTCACAGTGATTTATGGGGTCCTGCTCCCACTACTTCTCATAAAGGCTTTAGATACTATGTTAGTTTTATTGATCATAGTACTCGGTTTGTATGGTTCTATTTGCTCAAAAACAAGTCAGACACAAAGGCTGCCTTTACACACTTTCATGCCCTCATCAAAACTCAGTTTGGCACCTCTATAAAAACCTTACAATGTGATGGAGGTGGGGAATTTCTTGCTCTTAAGCCTTTTCTAACTGAACATGGCATTAAGTCTAAAATCTCTTGCCCATATACACCTGAGCAAAATGGGTTAGCCGAGAGAAAGCACAGGCACATTGTGCAAGTTGGCTTATCTTTGCTTTTTCAATCTCATGTCCCATCCAAATTTTGGGATGAAGCTTTTTCTAGTGCAGTCTACCTCATTAATAGAACTCCTCAAAAAGTTCTTCAGTTTAAATCTCCTTTAGAAATCCTCACCAAGACCAAACCTGATTATCTTCTCTTTAAAAGTTTTGGCTGTCTTTGCTTTCCATTACTTAAACCATATAACCAGAACAAACTTCAGCCCAAGAGCCTTGCTTCAGTCTTTATTGGCTACAGTCCTACTCATAAAGGATATAAAGTCCTTCTTCCCTCTGGTAGAATCATCATCACCAGACATGTCCTTTTTGATGAATCTATTTTTCCTTTCAACAATTTCCCTCCATCATCTTCTCTACCCCATAATCCCTCTGATATTCCCACTTCTACACCTACCATCATTTCTTTTCAAGCTCCTTCTGATAACCCTCACTTATCATCCAATTTTCAAGCTCAAGATGTTACTTCTGATTCTTACAGTCCCACCACTTCCTCATCCCCTATACATCATTCTCATACTCAGCAGCTGCAACATTCTCACACTCCACCAGCATCTCCTTTATCTTCACATCATCAAATTCACTCTCCCTCTTCAACTAGATCCCATAGTTCTTCAATTCCTATTGGTCAAATCATCATTGATCTTCCTATTGAACATAATGCTTTATCTCAACCAGTTGCTACTAATGACCATCATCAAGTTACAGGTAATCATCCAATGACCACAAGGTCCAAATCAGGCATTTTTAAGCCAAAAAGCTACTCCACCATTCTCACTGCAGAGAGAGAGCCTATGTCCATTACTGAAGCTCTTTCTTCTCCTCCTTGGTTAGAGGCAATGAAAACTGAGTATCATGCTTTGCTCAGCAATAACACATGGTCCTTAGTTCCTTCCCCAACTCATAGAAAGGTCATTGGCAGCAAATGGGTGTTTAAACTCAAAACTAATCCTGATGGTTCAATTGCAAGGCATAAAGCTAGATTAGTGGCAAGGGGTTTCACTCAAGATGCTGGTTTAGACTACAAAGAGACTTTCAGTTCTGTTGTCAAGCCCACAACTATCAGACTAATTTTATCCATTGCCATTTCTCTTGGTTGGGAGCTCAAGCAGATAGATGTGGACAATGCCTTCTTAAATGGCACACTCACAGAGGAAATTTACATGCAGCAGCCTCCAGGTTTTGAAATAAATCCTTCTCAAGACCTTGTTTGCAAGCTTAACAAATCTCTTTATGGCTTAAAACAAGCTTCAAGGGCTTGGACTTCTAAGTTCAGTGCTGTTTTACATTCTCTGGGTTTTTCAGTTTCCAAAGCAGACACTTCTTTATATTTTAAGCACACTCCACAAACTTCCATTTTTATCCTTGCTTATGTTGATGATATTATTCTCACTGGGAGTGATCCTCTTGAATTATCTCACTTGATCAAGTCTCTTTCTACTCATTTTTCTCTTAAGGATCTTGGCAGACTGCATTTCTTCTTGGGAATCAATGTGTCTTATCATCATGACTCTGTTGTTCTAGATCAATCTCAGTACATTGAGACTCTTTTAGATAGGGCTGGCATGAAGGGGGCAAAAGGCTCAGCTTCTCCTATGGTTTCATCTCCACCCCTATCTAAACATAATGGTTGTCCTATGGAAAATTCTCATTTATATAGACAGATTGTAGGAGCATTGCAATATGTCACCTTAACAAGACCTGACATATCCTTCTCTGTCAATAAGGTTTGCCAATTCATGCAAGAACCCCTTGACACACATTGGAAATCTGTCAAAAGAATACTTAGGTACCTAGCAGGTACTAAACATGTTGGGCTCAGATTTGAAAAATGTCCCAGATTCAATCTCACTGGTTTTTGTGATGCTGATTGGGGCTCAGATCCTGATGACAGGAGATCAACCTCAGGAATGTGTGTGTTCTTTGGCAACAACTTAGTATCTTGGAGTGCAAAGAAACAAACTATAGTTTCTAGATCATCTACTGAAGCTGAATACAGGAGTTTAGCACAAGCTTCTTGTGAAGTCATTTGGATACAATCTCTGTTGACTGAACTTAAGGTAGGTTTTCTTAAGCCTAGCACAATATGGGTGGACAACCGTGGAGCAGTTTGCCTTGCAGCCAATCCAGTAAACCATGCAAGGACCAAACATCTTGAATTGGATCTACATTTTATAAGAGAAAAGATTGAGAGGAACGTGATCTCGGTTCAACATGTACCAGCCACTGAACAGATAGCCGATATCTTCACAAAGGCACTAACAGGTCAATTCTTCACACGATTTAGGAACAAGCTCAGGTTGGTTCCTAATCCATGCAAAGAATTGAGGGGGCATATTGAAGGCCATGCACACGTAGGCTTGGTTGACCGGTTGAAGACCAATGTGATCAAAAGAGAAAAGCTGAGTTGGCATGCTGACACAGGAAAAGAAATGGAAGAGAGAGACGATCGAGCTGTGAGCTTGGAGTATAAGAAAGCTGACAAAAGCAATCCCAAAACCCTAGATGATTTTCCCTTAGCTAATGATGTTGTGTATGACAGCTTTACCCCTTAGGAGGTTGATATAGCCGCACAGTACACATACCATTCTTGTGTATGAAAAACTATGATAGACAAAAAGAGATGAACAACTTTTACCATATCAATGAAATAGCATTAATTTTATTGTTCAATTATCTCTATGGTGTTTTATCTGTTTCTCATTAAACAGCTCAGTGAGTTGAGAAGTAGTGATGTTTATATGGTGTGCTGCTGATGCATCAGGCTACTTATATCCCTAAAATTAGTTCAAGAGGCTTATCATGCGAAACACGGAAGGTGAATTTTTTTTCGGCATAATAATAAGGTTGATGAGTTGTACTAGTTTAGGAAACAAGATGTTAATTAGTTAAATTATCATTAATCAAATTAATTAACAGACATAAATATGTTAGGGATGAGAAGATATATCGAGAATATTGATAAATCTAGAGCTCAATGTGAATGAGCGTAAGTGAGGAATTTCAATAATAGTCTTTTAATGTACTGAATTATATGATGGGATAAGGTGTAGGGTGGGTCAGAATCAATACACTTAACATGTTATGAATCTTACTCGAACACCCTGTTGAATTTCATAAAGATACCATGAGACTCTTTTATATACGCGTGAGTTTCTCTTGAGCACATACACACGTACGCGTGAGATTGTAAAGAGAGAAAGAAAATCGTTAGAGTTGTAAAGAGAGAAAAAGACGGTGTTTCAAAGATCTGCTAGGAGAGCGTATGCAAGCCTTCTTCTTTCTGTTTGACTTGTGAGATCGAACATGAGATTAAGAGAGCAAATGGTTCCAATATCTTATAGCCTACCCGTTATTTGGAGCCGATGATCAAAATACATCATAAGATTTTAAGGTAATGAATCTAGATCTCAATCTCGTTGATCGAAGTATCCTCTCCAAGTCAGTAATAAAGTTTAAACGGTACGGTTACATCCAAATCTCTAGAATTCCATTGTGAATTTGTAAATTTTGAACGAATATAAAATCCGACACTTCAAACCGAGCCCAACAACGTTTGAGACCGCGAGAATAGCCCGACTGTTAAGCGAACTAGTTAAACTTATTTATATATATTTTTTATTTATTGTATATGTGTAATATATAATTATATATAATTTATTACTAATTCCATACAATATTTTATTTTTTCTGTTATTTTAAACTTTATATAATAATAATAAGATAAAATAACTGTATTTAGGAGTAAAAGAGTGTAAAACCCATTTAATTATTCAATAGTTGAAGGCCGGGCCCATTAAAAACCCTAAGAGCATTTTCTATAGTTCATGGATTATTCTATTCTATTGCCACGTAGCCCTTAAAATCTAATATGGTATTTAAAATATGTAGAAATCTTTCTAGATGCTGCAACCAATTATTCCAATTGACATTATCCATGAAAAAAAATATATATATTTATTTTCCTTTCTCCACACCATTCATCTCAAAATAGATACTGTGTCTTTAAATATGCTCTAAAGAACTAACATAAAACTTAAGCATCCTTCTAATTGTTTTGGGCTTTCAGTCGAAACAAGAACGTATATTGATAGGAGCTAAACAAAGTCACAACTCTCTCCATTTTGAGTGCAAATCGATCGTAGCCTACCCCCTCCCTCATTTTAAGATCTCGGTTCTTCATTCATACTGCACTCAAAACTACCAATGAACCTCTTGATACATCTTTTCTCGTGTTCTTGTTTTTTCTTTCATTGTTACATAAATTCAACATCCCCAAACAAACTGACTTTTAAAACAGTCGTCAGATGTCGAGTCCTGACCACATGGTCTTGGTGAACCACGCAACCAGCCCAAACCAGTATCGGTTGAACAATTCGACTGGTTTTTAACCAGTTCGAATGGTTCTATACAATTTTCCTAATTAACTAGGCAGTTTATTGATAGTATTGTACCAATTTCGAGGCCGGTGCCCTGTCGAACCGCCCGGTTCATTCCCCTTTTTAAACTATAATTATAAAATGTAATTTGTTTAATTTTTTTTTAGAGTACGACAATTGAATTTGATAATATGTATAATTATTGAAAAAAATTTGTTACCTAATGTGCAAACTATAGTCCAAGATATAATAAAGCACGATAGTTTTATATCACATAATAAACACACCAAAATATCAACCACAAGAAGCAAAAAGTAATTCATGTTTTTAAAAAAGTCACATAATAATCACACGAACTTACACAAATGCCATCAACATCACAGCTCACAAATCATACGGTTGCTTGCCCGTGAACTTGACCTCGATCGGGCTCACGTTCTTACCAATGGACCTCATGTTCTGGCCGACACCAGTCCTGCCGGCGTTGACTTTCTCCGGGTAAACCCCGTCCTTGGGGTGCAGGTACTGCACCTCCCCGTTGGGAAAAACCCTGTAAAATTGGTACTTTATTTTGTACTTGGACCGGAGCCTGGTCCCTAGAGCCAGGCACTGTTCCTTCCGGGCCAGCTTCAGCAGATTCGGGCCCTGGCGCATGATGGCGGCGCCGCCGGTCGGCATCTCGAACACCTGCTCCTTCGGGGACTCCCACGTGATGACATAGAACTCCTCGATCTGGGCCTTGCGGAGGAGCCCGCCGGTGCTGCCGCCGAAGATCGGCGACGGGGTATTCGGGTCGAGCTCCGGCGGGGTGAATCCTGCGGGAGCCTCCGGCTCCTTCGTCGCCGCCGGGGCCTCGTCGGCCATGGCGCGGATTGGGCGGTAGGCGGCGGAGGAGATGGGCTTTGCCGCCGGCCGGAGGGTGGGGAACTGCGCGAGGGACTGCTTCCACGGGGACGCCAGGCGGTCGGCGGGGTTGGGGGTGGAGAGTGTGGGGGTGAAGAGGGAGGCTTGGGTAGCCATGGCCATGAGATTGGAGCGTGTGGATTGGAATCGAATATATTTTTATTTTTCTTCTGGTTGTTTGAGGGAAGGAATATCTGTTGAAAAGTGTGTTATTTTGTGTGGAGTGGTGAGGAGATTTGGATTATTGGATAGTAGATAAGGTGGCATGGGTGAGCAGCCAATCAGAACCAGGAATTTTGATCTCAACGTATATCTAGAGCCACGTGTCTTTTCAATTCCACATACTAGGCTTATAATCCGTCCATAGAGGGATGTTATATGACTAGTGTAGAAATTTTATATTACATTATCCTTTTGGCAAATTATTTAATAAAGGGTAAATATGATAAAATTAGTGAATTGCATATGATAACATTAGTGAATTGCTAAATACCGCCCCCTTTTACTACCTACAGTTTTCTCTTGGATCATTTTTCCCTTGACAATTTTTTTGTTTTTTGTTTAAAAAAAAAAGGTAGCCAGCCGACAATATCGGTCGGACTGCCGTTGGCCGTGTTGTCGTATGAATTTGTAACAGCATTATTAACGTGTATATTACATAGATTCAAACGATAAATAACGATAATATGAGATTTTATTAATTGGTGAATGGTCGGTGCTTTATTGACTGAGGTGATAGTAGTACAAAGTGTTGCCCTCTTCCACGGAAGGAACCTTAAGCTTTATATAGTAACTTTTTAGGTACACATTGTTCGAGATCTCTAATCATTTAGGAATTGTGTGAAAAGTAGCTTTAAATGGGTGGTTTTGTCAGTCGGGTCCATGATCATCATGACGTTGGGCACGAGACGTAAGGAGGTCGTGTAGGCGCCTTGTCACCTGCTTCGGTATCGATGAACTCGGTTGCTTCCGAGGTGGATTCCGACGTCGGTAGACGATGGTAAAATTTTGAGAAGTCGGTTGTGTCGAGAGGTTGCAGTAAGTCCGTAGCAGCCTGAAGTCGGAAAGGGTTCAGGAAGAGGTTTCTGTCCGTGTATCACATTGGTGGGTAGGTGCGAATCCGAGGTCACGTGTCATCTTGAATAAGAGAAAAGTTTTTGGAGCCGTCCGACGTCTTTACCATCATTTTAAACCGTCGTCATTACGGTTATATTATTCGTAATCTGAATTACTCAGGATAATCCGCGAATTACCTTCGTAATCTGAATTACTCGGGATAATCCGCGAATTACCAAGTCGGTGGTCAACAGAGAGGCCCCCGACGCTAGTAGGTATACGAGAGTAATAGTTGCTAGCGTCGTTAAAAATATTTTTTTTTGAATCCGATTGGGAATATATTGTGACGTCGGTTTCCTTTAGTATCGTTGTGTTCCGAGGTGCCAACACTTAGTAAAATCGTGACTTGTATATTTCAATGAGAACTAGTAGTGGGCTGATGAGGACACGGCGTAACGGTTACTAACATATCTTTAAATCGACGGCTCGTAAAACGACGTATTAGCATTGATGAGGTGCAACGGATATACATGTAGACTGACACGTGGCGCATAAACATTAGATCCAAGCGGCAAAAACGAACCGCCGCGTTGCTTAAAAGCTGTGCGTGAGTTCACGGGTCCCCAAATGGCACAGTAACGGTCATAATCGAAGAGTATAAATATTGAGACTTAAAAGAATTAATTAGGTTTTCACCTTCATTTTCGCATCTGCAATTCTCAGATACTTTGCTTTCACTTCATCTCAGATTTTTCGCGCATTGACAATAATTATCTCCTCGTTTTCGCTGGTTTGATCGATTGATATTGCAGATTCTCTTTTGCTTGTCGAGTTTGGGGTAAGCAATAATTTCAATTCTATTTATTTTTCAATTCTTCGTTTGCGTCGCGTACTTGTTTCTTTGTGAGATGGCATCATCGACAAAAGACGGAGAAGCATCGAGTAGCAGAACGGTGTCCGAGGAGACTGTCATAGTAGATTCTGAATTAATGGAATTGTTACTCGAATACCATCGATGGGATCTGATGTTCGTAGAACAGCTGGACATAAAGCTGCATAGTGTCGAAGAAGACGGTATAGCTGAGGATAGAGGGATGACCGTATTAAATAGCTGGAGAAGGCCGGTTAGGAGATGGCCGGATGTGAAAGTAGATTATTGGGGGAACCGAGTATCTTGACCGATGCCGATGTGGTTCTCCTTCGCGAACAAATCCGGGTCTCGGCATCCGTAAAGCTATTCGCACCTTACCCTGGTGAGAGGATTGTATGTCCTCCTCCGGGTTGCATGGGAGTCTTTGCGGACAGTTTGAGGTCGGGCCTAAGGTTTCCTTTGCCCAATATAATTACTGAATACTTACGTGATTGGGGGTTAAGTATCTGTCAAATTACGCCCAACAGCTGGAAAAAGATTATAGGATTAATGATCCTTTTGAACGAGAAGGGTTGGGGAGCACGTTCTCCTGATGACGTAAGAAGTATTTATACATTTAAAAAGAGTCCAAATAGGAAGGTGGCCGACTCTTCTTGTTGTTTTTTCGCTGGGGGAAGGCCACAAAGATTTTAAGATCAGTGAATTGGTAGATGATGTTCCCGATACACTTCATGGCTTTCAAGAGGAATGGCTTTGGGTCGGAGGGGATTGGCAATCCGACGCTGCAGTTCATGGTCCTCTCATCGACGGGATGACAATCCCTATGAAAATCGTTTCTGAATATTGTAAGTGTTGAAATAGTTGTTTGGTCTCTTTATGATAATTTGTTGTTTTATGTACTAACAGGTTGGAAATTTTCTTGTTTGTAGCAAAACGGAAGAAAGAACCGAAGCTCAGTCTGGAATTTGGTGGTCGGTTATTGGAGCTCTTTCAGATTCAGAAGAAGAATCGCAGCTGTAAGTATCTAATTGAGGAGTCGAAACTTGAAGCGGCGAACTTGACCATAAAAGCTGCAGATTTGGTTGATTCCTTTGTCCCCGGTACGTTTTATGAATTTCTGAACTGTCATTACAATTTATTAGACTGTTCATATTCTAGTTGATAAACTCTTTGTGATGATATGCAGTGTATTATCCTCTTCTCGGCTATTCCGGATACGGTAGTATTGCAGAGGCAAAAGATTTTCGGCGGCAGTATCCGAACAAAGAGTTGTTATCTAAGTTTGGTAAAAGCCAATCGCAAAGATTAACCGACGCCATGAGCAATTTAGTCAGAGCTTTCCGTAAGGGTGTTGTGGGACGTCAGGCTGCCGAGGTCGGAGTAGGTGCGACCTCGGTAATCAACTTAGAGAGTCCGGAACGCCAACAAATGGTCCAGACGCCAGTTGAAGGTATTGTTGCCAACATTGAGAAGTCCAACCCGGTGGTACTGGAAGGTCCGGAGAATACCGAACAGGCTTTGGTTCGGTCTCTGTCCATTCCTGAAGACACCGAGGTCCTCAAGAATGCTGAAACAACTGCTATTATTGAGACGCCGATAGAAGAACAGAGCAGTCGGCCAAAGAAAAGAAAATTGAAGAAAAGATATGCTGAAGACACTCCAGTTGGTGCCGAGGAGAGTTCTAAAAAACGGCACAATCGTGGATTCAAAGATAAGGGTAAAGAGGGCGAGACGTCGCCATTTGTGGATAGAGCCTTCCTTTCAATTGACGAAGAGAGGGAGGCGAACTTTAACTTGCCGAAAGGAACGGTTGAAGATTGGTACTCAACTTTTCAGTCTGTTCGGCTTCCACGTATCACATCGAGAACCAACTTGCCAGACCATGTGTTGGATGCTGCATGGGTCCCTATGATGGCCTGGGACTCGATGACCGAGATGGGAGTATCATCGATGCCAAGTGTTCACAAACTTGGCTATGCAAAGGCTTGTTTAGGGCGCGCTCTCGTTTCCCTTGTCATGTCCGAAGACGACTATCGTGTGAATGCGGCACAACTTAACGAGAAGAAAGATACCGTCGAGAAACGCGATGAGATGATGTTCGCCTTTAAAGAAGAAGCTTCGAAATCCGAGGCGGCATTAAAGGATAAGTTGGCTGAGCAAGAGGCTCTAATTACGGGATCCTAGAGCGAAATCGCTTCTTTTACCGAGGAAAACAAATGTTTGAAAATCGAAGTCCAGACAATGACGGATCAACTGGCACTGTCTGAGCACAAAGCCAAGCTTCTTGAAGAAAAACTGCAAGAGTGCGAGACGAAACTGCAGAAAGAAAGAACCGAGCATCAGGAGACTATGATAGATCGTCTCGATAAACAGTCTGATTTGGTCCGAGCCCGAGAGGCCTATGCCACCGAAGTGGCTAAACTTGAAGAAGAAAAACTTGCATTCGGGCAAACAAAGTATGAAGAGGGCTTTCTAGCTGGGGAAGAGGTAGGTGCTGTCGCTGCCGAGCAAAGAGCTGTGAAGGAAACTAAAGAGGCCGTCGGTGATGAGCCTAGCGAGAATATAGAAGGACCGGACCTCGACATGGAGATGAACACTTGTATCAATTTTTGGTGGATAATCGAGCATTGCAAACATGGCTTCTACGACTTTCATGACTTGCGAGTCATGCTATTCCGCAAGCTTGCTAAATATGGCTTTGACTTGGAGATCAAAGGCGTTCATATCCCTGCGAATGAAGATGAAAGGGAATATTGCGAGTGGCGCCTTGGTCGGTTTGAGGCAATGGATGATAATCCTGACTTTCTCCCCTTTTCCGAAGAGCGTGCGAAGGCTCTGCACCGTGCATATGTGAACATGGTGCTTGAAGGGGAGGAAGAAAAATGAGGGAAACTGGCGGATACATTCGTGGAGACTTTGGCCGAGGTGAATGTGGACCAAGGCTTTGACCTCATGACTCCCAAAGCTATCCGAAGGTCGGTTGAGAAATACGTTGCGGACAAGGCAAAGGCTTTGGTCCCCGTGAATGAAACAGCAGAATGGGTCCGAAAGAGCGTGATGCACTGGAACAAGCCAAGTTCGACTTGATCCCGGTTGGTGATGATGTTGTGGCGGCCGCGATCCGGGCCAAATAAATTGCTACTTTGGAGAAATTCGCAGAGCAAATGCAGAGTTCTGGTCCCGAAGTCGGTGAAAGTAGTGGGACGGCTAAGGGTGATGCCGATAAAGAAGGTTGATATGCTTTTGACCGAACCAATCAGACTTTTTATCTATGATTTGTCAGTTTAGAGGTTTTTAGTAAAGACTTTTTGTTATTTTATCTGCGGATTGGGAGTCAGTGTGTTTAAACTCCCGATCTGCTTTCCAAAGAACATTTTGATGTATGAACGCAATGCTATTTTATGAAACATATTGGATTCATTTTGACGTTGTTTTGATAGTGTACATATAATTCTTTTTATGAATATCTTGGAACAAGGTTAAATATTTTATTTTTCATGAAGTGGTTTGCCGTAACCCTTCATCTCAAGTCGCATAAGTATTTAAAGACCGACAAGCCGATCATCTTGAACTTCGGTTAAATTCAAATCCACAATATAGGTAAAGAAACAAAAACAAAGATAAATATGCAACTTAATTAACCTAAGATGAAGAGTGTTAGCACTTTTACCTTGTTCCGAATTCGTTTCAAATTTAGACTGGGAAGTCGATTTGTACCTTTAGCCGACCAATCACTTTGAAGTCTTCATGATTTGAGTATATTACGATAATCGGTATTTATTATATTTTGACAAACAAAAAATGTGTTATGGTACCAAGATTTAGAATGCTCGGAGCTTTTATATGAAATTATGAGACTTTTTATGCTCAAACCGAGGTCTGTACAACCCGGATTTGTTAATTAAGATTAATCGAGGTCTGAAAACACGGTCTGATAACCGGACTTCAGATCTTCCCTATACTTCTTTTGAGTTGCCTTCCCTTCAGGAGAATTGTAATCATCTTTTGAGGGACCTCCGAACGGAGTTTTCTCGGTTTTCCGCCAAACGCTTTCTTATTCTTTTTCAGGACCCCAGAATCGGACTTCGATTCTTTCGAGGAAAAGCTGAAGTCATGAACCGACATTGACTCCTCAGCAATAATATGTTGTTGTGCTCGGGCAAAGAATTCTTGAAACGTACTCGGCTTATTCTGACATAGGGTCCATCGGAACATGGAATTTGGTTTAAGCCCAGCTATGGCGGTGACTAACAAGGTTTCTGGATGGCAAGGTTCCATATTCTGAACTCGTTCATTAAACCGAGCTACATATTCCTTCACGCTTTCATCATCTCGTTGAGTAATATTCGCAATAGACTCTTTGGGAATAAGACAAACCTGGGCCCCTATAAAATGTGAACGAAATGCCGACCTGAGTTGTTGCCATTTCCAGATGGAATGGGAAGGCAGAGAATGATACTACTTTTGTGCTCGAGGTCCCAGGGTCAAGGAGAACATTCTGCAACGCAGGGCGTCGGTAGCACCATGGAGATCCATCCAGGAAGTGTAGTGTCCGAGATGAGCATCGGGATTCGAGGTCCCGTCATATAATCCGATTTGAGGGACTTTTACCTTTCTAGGTATAGGACCCATAGTCAGTTCGGGGGCTAAAGGTGATTCAACTTCCAAGTATATATGACCCGGTTCCGAGGGATGAAAATTCGGAGGTGGTCGCGCGAGGGTACCACGTAGTGCTTCGAGTTCAAGTTCGGCAATCCGTCTCCCAGCATCTCGGTCTCCGAATTGTCATGTCGGTTGAGACGATTTGTCTCAATTTTTTGACGCAAATCTTGAAGATTATCAGGTTGCTGAGGTATCGGTTGAATTGGGGCGGCAAACCTTCGAGCATGTCCTGGATGGCTCTGAGCAGTTGCTTCTTGCATTTCGTTTCCGTTTGGTGGCGGTGCGATTCCTGCCGGTGGACCTTGACGATTATTATCTCAAGGGTGAGATGTAGCGTGCGAAGCGGCGTGAATATTGTCGTCTCTCAGAGGCGGTTGTGCACCTTGTCGCACGGGTTCCACCGGATTTATAAGTGGCCCCAGAGGAGCCCGTGGAGTCTTGGGAATTATTTGCGCTAACATTGTTGTGATTCCTTTTGCAATTTTCGGGTTCTGTAAAAGCGTTGCTAAATTCGGAACCGCTGGAATATTAGTTATTCGGCCGGTAGGCTGATTCACAGGAGCGTTGTGGACTCGTCCCGTGGGTTGCTGGTTAGGATTAATTTCACTTCCTCTGGTCGTGGAATGATCTTGTCCTGATCGAGACATGGCTGAACAAACAGGAATAACGGTGGCAGAGTTGCGGTTGTCGCGTGTACGTCGAAGATTGACCTCAAATACATTGAGGGCGCTCCTTCTAGCGCCAAACTGTTGTCGTATAGATTTGTAACAACATCATTAACGTGTATATGACATAGATTCAAACGATAAATAACGATAATATGAAATTTTATTAATTGGTGAATGGTCGGTGCGTTATTGACTGAGGTGATAGTAGTACAAAGTGCACCCCTCTTCCACGGAGGGAACCTTAAGCTTTATATAGTAACTTTTTAGGTACTCATTGTTCGAGATCTCTAATCATTTAGGAATTGCGTGAAAAGTAGCTTTAAATGGGCAGTTTTGTCAGTCGGGTCCATGATCATCATGACGTTGGGCACGAGACGTAAGGAGGTCGTGTAGGCGCCTTGTCACCTGCTTCGGTATCGATGAACTTGGTTGCTTTCGAGGTGGATTCCGACGTCAGTAGACGATGGTAAAATTTTGAGAAGTCAGTTGTGTCGAGAGGTTGCGGTAAGCCGGTAGTAGCCTGAAGTCGGAAAGGGTTCAGGAAGAGGTTTCTGTCCGTGTATCACATCGGTGGGAAGGTGCGAATCCGAGGTTACGTGTCATCTTGAATAAGAGAAAAGTTTTTGGAGCCGTCCGACGTCCTTACCATCATTTTAAACCGTCGTCATTACGGTTATATTATTCGTAATCTGAATTACTCAGGATAATCCGCGAATTACCTTCGTAATCTGAATTATTCGGGATAATCCGCGAATTACCAAGTCGGTGGTCAACAGGCCGGCCGCCGATTGCAGCCGCGCTTGGCGGCAGTCGGTAGATTCGGCCGGCTAGTCCAAATTTATTATCTTGTAGAATTTCTTATTTTTATGTTATAACTTAGAATGCCAATTGCAGACCCACCACTTTAGTTCGAACGAACCCAAACTCTTTTTTGGATGAAGATGCTGTGTTGTTTGGCCATCCAAATTTATTATCTTGTAGAATTTCTTATTTTTATGTTATAACTTAGAATGCCAATTGCAGACCCACCACTTTGGTTCGAACGAACCCAGACTCTTTTTTGGATGAAGATGCTGTGTTGTTTGGCCATCCACACTCGGACGTCCTTGTACTCACGCCGTCGATCTTCCACATTCATGTGCACAAAATTTTGGTCGACACGGGGGCTTACGCGAGTGTCTTGTACTTGAATACCTTCAGGAAGATGGGGATTGGTCATGAGGAATTTAGACCAATCAATGATAGGATCCAAGGATTCGACAGCCAGACTACAATCCTGAAAGAGAAATAACCCTGCCAATTCAGTTCTATGGTCCAATGGGGATGATGATTTTGGAGACTTTTACGATCGTGGATCACGAAAACGAGTATAAGACCATTCCCAGGAGGTCGACTCTATGCAAACTCCGAGCTGCGAATTTAATTTTCCCCTACCAACTGAAAAATAAATGTGAAAAACATCCCTATATATGAGTATGGATAAAATTTAAGTGAAATATTTTGTAAACAAACACCCCCGAAAAAATAAAGTAAATTGCCACCCAAAGTTATTAAATTATTATTACCACAGTTTTGCTATGGAGCCATCGGATGACTCGGTTTATGGAGTCATCCACACTTATTCACCAATAGTATTTTGACACGTGTCCTGTAATAAATATACTTTGGACATGTATCAATACATTAAGTGGTGGATGGCTCCATTAAAAAACCATCCGATGGCTCCATAGAATGTTTTATTATTACCAACATAAATACATAAAATGTGGCCCATATTTGTGTGTTTGCGGTTTCTTAATCCTTTTCTCTCCTCTCGACACCTTAACCTTTGTCTATGAGGTCCTCTCAATTTTCAACTACATCGCTTCTCACTGAATAAACCTTCTCTCAACAAGTTCTAAATTACTTGGACGGAAATTCACACTATGTTTGGTTCGAGGGAAACTGAGGGGAGGGGAGGGGAGGGGAGGGGAGGGGAGGGAATTTTATAATTTTCCCTTGTTTGGTTCAATTTTTTGTAGGAGGAAGGATTGATATTTTCCCTTCAAATCCCTCCTCCAAGGGAAAATCTCCACCCCTCCAAAAGTGGAGGAATTTGGAGGGGAGGGAAAATTTTTAACACATAAAATGACTATATTATCCTTTATGTATAAATTATTTTATTATTTTGTTTCTTACATCATTAAGGATATAATTGTCATTTCTACAATATTTTCCTTCCCTTCCATTATTCTAACCAAACAAGGTTTACCATTTTCCCTCCATTCCCCTCCTACAAAATCCCTCCAAATCCTTCCAAACAAGGTAAAATTATTTTACATCACCTCCCCTCCCCTCCCCTTCCTTCCATTAAAATCCCTCCCCTCCCCTCCCCTCAGTTGAACCAAACATAGCCTCAGGCGTGACCACCATTGATTCGCCAATGCTCCGAATTTATGTAAGCTTTCCTGCTTTGTTACCTGCCACTCTACATCAGTTTTAAATGCTTGCTTCTTGTTTCTATCAATGTCACATATTACAGATGCATAATTTTACTCATATTCATGTGTCTGTGCGCGAGTTCATACTGCTTCCATTTAACAAGTCTGGATCGGAAGATTTGAGGTGGAAACTTGCATTGTGGCCAGGGATTTATTTACCTTTGGATTTGAGAGAAACTGATTTTATTCAGTGTGCTCTGCATTTGGTACAATTTTTCTTCACACAACTGAAAAAAAAAAAGTTGCACTAATTTTCATTCCACATCCTTTTCTAGTTTCTATCTTCAGACTCCAGTAAGAATAACCCCATTCATCACACATTTGATTGACATGTAAAGCAAATCATTATGCATACCACACTATTGACACCAAACTCCGCACAAACACCTAACAACCGTTGGTCGAAAAAAAAAAATCGGTACTTTCACATCGAAACACTGTTCGGAATCCCCTTGCCAGTCAACCCTCCACTCCTCGTATAATCCGACGTGTTCGGGTACAACAAGGTATACGGAACCTTAACAGGCCCACACCTATTCCGGAACCTTCCGTCAAAGTTCCTCTCCACAATCCTCTTCTCAATCTCCACCAAAGCCTCACCAAACCTCCCGAAAGCCTCGAGTGGCCCACTATCCGCCGTCCATTTCGGACTCTCCCTCTGCCCGAGATAAATCTCGTCAGTCGAGTGCCTCGACAATATTTCAATAAGCGACACTCCAAGCAGAGTTTGAAACTGTGCTGTTATCGTTTTCAAAAAAGCCGAATCCGGGCTCGACTCCAGCTCAGCAAACTCGGGAGTCCCGGGCTCGGGCATTAGTTTGCGGCTGACGGTGGGGCGGTTTGGTAAATATCCCGCGTAAGGGTACTGACCGAAGTTTACGGCTGCGTGGAGAGCTGAGGCTACCCAAATGATGATTGTGCACGAGCTGGCGAGATCGGATTTTGTGTGCATTTTGGGCCACCAGGGCTTGTCGCTGATGTCAGCGTGCCCGACTTCGCGAAGCTCTTTCCACCAGGACTGGAGCTCGGTGTCTTCACGAACTTTGTCGTCTGTTGGGTAGTAAAAATGGCAGTAGTCGTTGACCCAAGACTCGATGGTTGACCAGATATCGAGCCCGTCGACTGCATACGGGTAGTCCTCGATTAGGAGTTTTAGGCCGTGGGGCCGAGTCTCGTCTGGGATTGCTATTCCTCTGTAGGGAAACAGAAAGGTTTGCATGATATAAGGATGATAACTTATTGCAAAATATAAGGATAGATGGAGCAAATCTATGAGAAGATTGTTTGTATACAAAAATTTTCACTGAAACTGGGTTTTTTTGGTTAGCTGGAGTTAATTTGGAAAAAGATGGTATGATTAGTTGTTAGTGGGATTTTGAATTTATATTAAAATAATATTTAAAATAAAATAATTAAAGTTGATTTGATGTAAAAGTAGGAGAGGGATAATATGAAGTGATGGTTAGTTAAAATTATGTGAATGGATGAATAGTGGATTAAAATAGATGTGATGTGTAAGAATGATTGGATGATATTATTTAATTGTATTGATAATATTGAGGATATTGGAGTTGAGTTGAGTTGGATTTTGAGTTGAATGAAATTTTGAGTGAAAAATTCTGTATACAAACATGCTCTGCACAAATATTCCAGAGTTAGCATGATACAAATTTCAGGTTTATGGAAAAAGATGTCTCTGGAGATCAGTCCAATTATAGGAAATCAAGATCATCTTCAAATTCTGTGATTAGGTTATTAAATAAAGGCACCTTTTGTATTATTTCTAAAAAATCAAGATCCATGAAGAAAAATCCAAGCCACAACAGTTCAAAAAANCTTTTGATAAGATCAACAGGGAGAGCCTGCTCGGTAAAATTCCAGTCCCTGTAAATGAAGGAAGACATTTCCATAGAATATCTAGCTGGGAACACAGTCTTCTCAAGTATGCCGCCTGCATTAATGAGTATTTGCCGGGCTAAGGCGTTTATGTGTATCGTGTCACGAAAATGTGGCTTCAGTAGCTTGTATATTGGGTGGAGCACGCTAAGCTGTCTATTAGTCGCCATCACAAATGGCTCGATCACCGCATGAGTGTTTAGCCTAAGTATTTAACAAAANTAACAAAAAAAAAAAAAAAAATTAAATTCAGGAACATATTAAATCACATTTTATTAGTATATGAATTATTAGTACCAGTGGCTTATGAGCTGGTGGTAGCCCGAGTCATTAACCGCCACATAAGCTTTAGCCAGCTGCCAAATTGAATTCCCGACTCCATTGTCACACGGGGTGAATACCTTGCTGACTGCTCCACGTGAGTCTCCATTGTTGTGGGGTAAGCTTAGTTCTATTGCCAGTGGCTTTAGTGTGTCGTTTTCTTGGAGAAGAAGGATCGTGCGTGTGGCGTAAGTCTTTGTGGTGGTTGTGTTGATTCGCCTGAGGTACGGCATTAGTGAGTCGTGATGGTCGAGTATGAAGAGCTTGTTGTTCTCGATGGCCTGTGGTTTTGGCAATGAGTGATTATTATGTGGATTTTAACATGTTTTACTTGGATTTTTGGTGGTTTTGCTGAAGAAATGGCAGATTTTACCTCTTTTTGAACTTTTTTTTTTTTTTTTTTTTNTAGTCACCCCTGAGGTTTGAGTATTTTACAAGAGGATTCGAAGAAGTTTTCCAAAGTTACAAAAGTGCCACTTGAGTTTTGATAATTTAGAACATATCAAGAATCTCCCTTAAGTTTAAAAACACTCACATTCACTCCCTCTAAATTTCAAACTACAGGGTTTCTTTATCTGTAAATTTTGAACATTCCCACTAACCAAGACTTTCACTGGTATTTTTTCTTGATAACTCATTTTCTTTTTCTTTCAGAATGTGAATACAGCATGAAGTGGTACAAAAGAGAAAGAATCTTACTTGTTCCACAGTCAGCCCATTCATGTTTTTCTCAACATCTTCTCTTGTGATGGTACTATCCTGATTCCCATACTGCGCACGATCAAGTTTGCTAGTCGGTGGAAACTCCTGTGAGGTGAAACTCATTCATTCATTTTTTTTTTCTTTTTTGGTACATTAAACTGAAAAACGAAAACAAGGAACAAAAACTCTCTTTACCAGTAGACGTCGAATAACAACAGGGTTCACCCCAGCCAGCATTTCACGTCCAAACTCCTCATCAGTCCTCCATGCTGTTCTATCCTCTGCATAATAAAAAAATAAATTCTTAAATACCAATTTTCAAGAGTTATTGCATATTTGCATGAACAGAAGCTTAACTCAATTACCTTTTATGACATCAGGCATTGGAAACTTAAGAAACCGTTCTCCATCCGAACGAACGAGCTCCTTCACCAGCTCCCAAGGGACGTGCTCTCGTATTTTACTCAGCATGTAGCCAGCTGGCAGCTTAATCCCTCCCTCATACAAATCAAGCACGTCCTGGAATGAGTCGAACTCGTTTATAGTTTTGTCAAACACAGCCTTAACCTCAGGGACCAGTACTTGACCGAGAGACTTAAGCGCATACGCAATGAAGTCCGAAAGCTTGATTTGATTGAACCTATCGTCTCTCGGGACATAAAAGTTCAGATTTAACAGGAAAAGTCTGCTCTCCGAATTCGGATCTGCAAAAATACAATAATAATAATTAAAGGGGAAACAAATAACCTATTGGCAAAATTGCAATTTTAATCCTGTTGGTTTTGATCCAATGTCGTTTTCAGTCCTAAGAATTGAACATTTTTGCTATTTGGTCCTATGATTTTAAAATTCCACACAATTTCAGTCATTTGGGACTGAAAATTCAACAAAATTTAAGATTACATGACTTAAGTTGCTAATAAAAAAATCTTTTTGATGGATTTTTTATTATCAATCGAAGTCTTATAATTTTAAATTTTGTTGTAGTTCAGTCCCAAAGTACTGAAATTGCAGCAAAATACTAAATTGCAGGATCAAAAGACAAAAAGTTAAAATCTTGGGACTAAAAATGCTACGGCGTTAAACCAGTAGGATTAAAAATGCAATTTTGCTAAAAGATTCCTAGCTTCTCTTGGAGGAAAGTAATACTGTGCTTTTTCCAAGAAGCGGTAAATTGTTTTACTTTTTACTTTTTTTACCTTTTTTGTTGGGTGGACGACCTGTTCTTCCTCGACGAGGGTAGGGATACTGTGTGCCGCCGAGCACGGGACGTTCGTAGTCTTTACCTTTTTCGGGGCTTCCCAAGTCATTGTAGTATGCATAGTCATAAACTCGGTCCCATTCTTTTAGGACACCTGTCCCTTTTCCTCGGAGGTTTACGAGCTCTTCATCTCTGTATATGCGCAGAGGCTCGGGTGTGTCGCGCGGAAGGTACGCCTGAAATAGTACATAAAAAAACAAAAGGAAGAATTATTATCTGAAATTGCTGCAGAAGGCATTTCCAGTACAGGATGTTTGTAACCTTTTTCAAAGTTGGAATGAGTCTTGAAATATGAGGATAATCTCGAAAAACTACTCTTAATGTTTGATGCAAATACTCGAAAGAGACTTACACTGTTACACACACACATACTCATACCCAAGAAAGGAAGGACAGTTTGTAAAATTACAAAAACACCCATTTTAAAGTTTACTGCAAACATCCCCCCTTTAGGTTTGCATCTTCTACACGAAATTCCAAGAGTGAAACCGGCTTTTCTTATTTCATAATTTAACAATCATCAGTGATGCATTTTGTTACTAAACATAAAATTTACAATACATAAAAAATCCCCTGCATCAAATCTTGAGGACTCAAAACCAAGTTGCACAAGTAATTTACTCTCTTGCATGGTACAACATCATTAATCACTTTATTTACTTGAAATAACATAAGGCAATCACCAATTTTCAGCCACAATCCTCA